TGCTGCATTTTGAATGTACTGCAGCTGTTTTACAGCCTGTTTGGACAGACCTGTGAGCAGGCCATTGCAGTAGTCTAACCTACTGGAGACAAATGCATGGATAAGAATCTCCAAGTCTGCTTTAGACACTATGTTTTTGATCCTGGCAATGTTTTTTAGATGGTAAAAAGCTGCTGATGTTACTGATTTGATGTGGCTATTAAAATTTAAGTCTGAGTCCAGTATTACCCCTAGATTTCTGACCTTGTTTGAAGGTTTTAGGGAGAGAGACTGTAGGTGACAGATGACGCTCTCTCTTTGTTTCTGGGGACCAAAGACAATCATTTCAGTTTTGTCTGCGTTTAGCTGAAGGAAGTTGTTTTGCATCCACTCACTGATCTGTTGGATACAGTGAAGGAGTGAGTCCACTGGTCCATGTTCTCCTGCAGTCAGTGAGACATAGATCTGAGTGTCGTCTGCATAGTTATGATAGGAAACTTTGTTTCTGCGTATTAACTGACCTAACGGCAGCATGTAGAGATTGAACAGAAGAGGTCCCAGGATCGACCCCTGTGGGACTCCACAGGTCAGGGCCATATGATCTGAGACACAGTTTCCAATCTCCACAAAGTACTTCCTGTCCTCAAGGTAAGACCTAAACCAACTTAGGGCGGTGCCAGCGACTCCAACCCAGTCCTCTAATCTCTGTAAGAGGATCTCATGGTCGACGGTGTCAAAGGCAGCACTTAGATCTAACAAGATTAAGATTGAGACTTTGCCTGCGTCAGTGTTCAGCCGGATATCGTTTGTAACCTTGACGAGAGCAGTCTCAGTGCTGTGGTGGGGTCTAAAGCCGGACTGAAACATATCAAATGAGTTGTTGATTATAAGAAATCTAGTAAGCTGTAGGTAGACAACTTTTTCAAGGACTTTCCCCATAAATGGCAGATTTGAGATGGGACGATAGTTGTTAAGTACCGTAGCATCGAGACTGCTCTTTTTTAGCAGGGGCCTGATGACTGCAGTTTTCAGGGCCTTTGGGAATATTCCAGAATGAAGGGACATGTTTACTATCTGTGTGAGTGAAGGTAACAGACTGCTCAGAACAGACTTCAGAAATCTAGTGGGTAGTACATCCAAGCTGCATGTGGAGGAGCTCAAACTGGAGATTATCTCTTGGACAGTTTTATCATTTACAGGTGCAAAGTGAGTTAGCTCAGAGAGCCTTTCTGGCTGTTGGATGGTTATCTGTGGATTGGAGACAATGGCGTTTTTGATGCCTTGAACCTTGTCATTGAAAAAATTAGCAAACTCATTGCATTTACGTTTGGAAGTAAGCTCTAATGGCATTTGAACAGGGGGGTTTGTTAATCTATTAACTGTTGAAAACAGAACACGCAGATTGTTGCTGCAGCCTTCAATCATTTCAGAAAAATACCTTTCTCTCGTACTACGTAGCACCCGGTTAAACTCGCACAACTTATCTTTGAAGATCTCGTAATCAACCTGGAGGTTGGACTTGCGCCACTTCCGCTCGGCCCTCCGGCACTTTCTCTTTTGTGCCCTGACCGAGTCTGCTTTAGCCCACGGCGCCTTCTGCTTATTTTTCACTATTTTAACCTTCACAGGGGCAACGGTATCCAGAACATTCAAAACACTAGAGGTGACAGAGTTAAACAGTTCATCTACAGTAGAATACGATGCATTCTCAAAGTTTATCATTCCCATAAATAGTTCACTCGTATTTTCATTTATGTGTCTTCTTCGTACAGTTGCAGAGTCCACTGGTGGTTTGTTAGTGAAACACATGTCAAAAAAAACACAGAAATGATCCGAAAGAGCAACATCGACCACGTTTACATTTGAAATATTCACCCCCTTAGTAACTAACAGATCTAGAGTGTGCCCTCTGCTGTGGGTGGGGCCACTTACGTGCTGAGTGAGATCAAAGGATTCAAGTACAGAACTCAGCTCATTTGCATTTCTGTCATCAACATTATCCACATGAATATTAAAATCACCTGTAATAACCAAACTATCAAAATCTGTGCATACAACTGAAAGCAACTCGGTAAAATTATCAATAAAACTGTGACATGACTGCGGTGGCTTGTATAGGACAACGAAAAGTATTGGAGGAGATTGTTTTTGTTGTATTTTAAAAGACACATATTCAAAAGACGAAAACTTCCCAAGGGACATTCTATGGGAGACAAAGTGGTCTCTGAAAAAGGCAGCTAAGCCTCCTCCTTTTTTGTTTTCCCGTATTTCAGATTCAAACTTGAAATTTGGTGGTGATGCTTCTATTAAAACTGCATTTCCTGAATTTTGGTCAAGCCAAGTTTCAGCCATGAACATAAGATCAAGATTATGAGAACAAATAAAATTATTGATTAAAAAAGACTTGTTACAAAGAGATCTGACATTAAGCGTAGCAAGTTTCAAAGTTTCAGTATCAGCGGTTGTGGTCGGCTGATTCTTACACGGAACAAGAATTAGATTTTCCAGATTAGACTTATTAACTCCAGATGTCTTTCTGTAATGTATTCTTTGTGTTATCACTAAGGGAATGGGACAGGTGGCTTCATGACAGGGCCCCAGCCGGGTCTCTCCTCTAACTAGACTGCCAGTGGCTGCGAAGCAGAGACCCTGTGCATCCTAGTGTTTAGAGAAAAGAGGGGAAGGGGAAGGCGGGGGAGGAGGATGGAGAGGTGGGTGGCTTTTGGGTGTTGAACGAGGGGGGCAGGGAGGTGGAGGGGTTTTTGGTGATGGGTTAGGGCCGGGGTGGGCTGAGGCAGAGGTTTTGGGTGTTGAACGAGGGGGAAGTGGGGGTGGAATGGTCATGAGGTTAGGGGAGGGACTGGCTGAGGTGGTTTTTGTAGGTGAATTGGAAACCCTAGGTGGTTTTGGAGGTACATATGGGGAGTGGTTTAGCATGTTGGACAGGACTCTAGATCTAGCTAATATGGGTGTGAGAGGAATAGTCTTCATCGCCGATTTTATTAGCCCTGCAGAGTGTTCAGGTAGGTCTAACAGTGAAGGCGGGGATGAAAAACAAAGGGACGTGTCCCCATTCTCTCTTGATGGAGTGGACGTGGCAGGGGGGACCCAAGACAGGTCCATGGGAGGTGGCGAGGGAGTCTTTGATGGAGGGGCAGGTGGTTGAGGAAACCCCAGCACAGGCCTGTCTGCTGTAACCTGGGGTGAGGATGGGGGCTTCAGAGGCGCTGTAGAAGAAGAAGGCGTGGCTGCTTTGGAGCAGGCTGGGGATGAAGATGTTGGTGGTGGTGGTGGTCGTGCTGCTGGTTCTGCTACTGGTGATGATGCAGCTGCTTCTGATGACAGTGGAGGTGTTGAGATCCTTTGAGGCGGTGATGGTGTTGAGATCCTTCGAGGTGGTGGTGGTGTTGAGATCCTTCGAGGTGGTGGTGGTGTTGAGATCCTTCGAGGTGGTGGTGGTGTTGAGATCCTTTGAGGTGGTGGTGGTGTTGAGATCCTTCGATGTGGTGGAGGTGTTGAGATCCTTCGAGGTGGTGGAGGTGTTGAGATCCTTCGAGGTGGTGGTGGTGTTGAGATCCTTCGAGGTGGTGGAGGTGCTGAGACTTTTAGAGTCGGCTTCCTCCCTTTCGATGGCTGCACGCGCTGCGCAGGCTGAGGTCTCAGGGCAAAAGAAAGGTTATCCATCAACACTTTTACTCCGTAAGTGTTCAGATGTGGCCCTTTCCCTTCAAAAAGCTCATGCCTATTCCAGAACAGATTAAAATTCTCAATGAAGGCAAGTCCTCTGCGTGAACATTCGTTGAGTAGGAAAGTATTTAGCTGATACAGACGACTGAATTTCATTTGCTTCCCGTCCACATTTGGTAGTGGGCCACTGATAACGATAGTTGCGTCCATTTTAGCAAGGTCGTCCAATAAGAGAGAGTAATCCCGTTTCAACTTTTCACTTGTGTTGTCATAGACGTCTACTGCCCCCACGTGGATCAACAATCTTTTTACCCCGCCGGTCTCAGACAGAAGCCTCGGAGCCAGCCGCCTTATCTCATCCACTTTGGCAGAGTGTACTGAGTGAACCTTGAGATTACGCATGTTTACGTGTCTTATCGCCGAATCGCCGATAAAGAGCGACTCAGCTGCATTTGACCTTGACTGAGACTGAGACTGGGACTGAGAGACTACTGCTGATTCATCTTCCAAAAGTGGGGAAAAGCGGTTTCTTGTAATTAAAGATTTTTGCTGTGGCATTATGACACTCTTGTTATCATTAGCTTTGCCTTGTTTGGGCTTGGCACCATATGTGTTCCAACAATTGTCTCTGTTGATTTTGGGAAATGAAATAGCGTCATCATAACTTACGTTTTGTCCATTTGGTCCATTTCCCTTCACTGGTATTGTTGTGTTCAGCCCCAATTCTGATTCAAGCACAAACATTCGGTCTTGAAGAAGTTTTAGCTCCTGTTTGAGTGAAAAACAGCCGTCGCAAAGTTTTGTTCTGTTTTCCCGTCCTCCTGACATGCTGTAAGTTAGGTAAATTCCACAAGTCTTGTGTTGAAGTTTGTAAAAAGGAGTAATCCGTGTTTTGTGGAATAAAAATGTAAGCAAAAATGATTAAAGGAGATAAAAAAGCAGCAAGCGAGGGAGGAGCAGCAAGAGAATGCGACTGCTCTGTCCAGAGGTCGCACACACAATCAATGTACCACTGCACTTCTGAATCTCACACAATGAGCCTCTTACAGCTGCTGTTGCCCACAAGCGCCTGCCTTTTCAATATGGCTACCAGAAGGACTGTTACATCACCTGAAAGCCCGCACTGAGACAAGGCTGACACACACAGAGAGGCTGGTTCTAGGCCATTTACAGCACCAACAACACACACACCACTGTACTGGCCTCACCTCTATTGCGTCAGAGGCATGATTCAGCTCCCGGGACAGTGCTGATCAACCCAGACACAGGCCAAAAGCTGGCAGAGGGAGAAGAGAGAGGAGCAGACAGGTGTGGAGCACCTGGGGCTCCTCTGACAGAAGAATGTGATGAGAGGAGCTGCAACTTACCAGCTGTACTATAGAGAGACTAGCTGTCCACATGCATTTTAGGAAATGTTTGCAATTCTATGAATGTGTCCAGTGTTACAACTGCTATTATGACTACTGAAAAAAAATTATTGTTGAAAATATAATGAGTAAAGAATACATTTTGGCAGTGAGAGGGAAAAATACCCTAACCCTGATGCCAAAAGGTGAGCCGAGCAGAAAAATACATGCCTGGTCCCAACTCTATTGTCTCCCTACAAGGCTAGGGTTATATGGTGTATCCATTTAGGGCAGGAATATCCAAACAAGGGGTATAGGAAAAAATCGATTTGCGATATAATTAATTTTTTTTCCCCCAGAGATACAATATTGTGTAGTATTTACCCTTTCCCCGTACTCCACTGACGCCGCACGTCACAGACAACAGCGTCTTCCTGTTCTTGATAACGGAGTTGGAGCTAATATTTACAGTCTATGAGTTAGAGACATGGATCTATAAGGTTAGAGAGAGGAGATAGAAGAAATTGGCAAGCTTGAAATCAGATGTGTGGGAGCAAAAAGACTTTGCAGTTTGCAAGGTGTGTGACATAATCTGGGGTCTTTTTCCCCACTGAAAATGTCATTTTTGGTGAAATGTGTTACCACGGGGCACTTGCTGCCATTTGCTGTACGTACTCAAATGGTATTCCACATCCTCCTGCACTGTTCTGATCCCGGAGCAACTGTGGCCGCCTCCAGCGTCTGTGAGCCGCTTTGACGGTGAACGCCGTAACATGGCCAAAATGTACCCAGTGTGGACCATAGACTTGCGGACAGACCATTGCCAGCTTGTTGCCAGTGCAGGTCTTAACCCGCAATAAATACGGTGCATTAAGAAAGAGATCTGGATTCCAAAGCCACAAGATGGAGATGTCCATGCCTCGCCAGTGTCTCCTCCCAAAGCGCAAACAAAACTTGCTGAAATAAAGCTGGGATACCTAAATTTTCCCTTGCATTATGCCTTGTAATTATTGCATAATGCCTTGTTGTGAACAAATCAAACAGAACAAACCACAACAAGCCATCTAGTTAAAAAGAGCCCTGTGAGTCATTACTCAAATGTTGTTAATTTTTTCCCACACTGCTAAAAAAGCTGTCAAACTGTTTGGAACAGGCCACTTGGTGCACTTTTTAACTCCATTGTTATTTTAAATGCACTTGTACATCTTTGATTAATTTTGTCCAACATTTGTAAGCTGTAGACACTCTGTCCAGTCAGATAGATTGTGTAATTACTGTTTTAATTCCTAGTTAGCTTATTTAAATCACTTAAATCTTTCAGGAAAATATGTAAGTATCGAATTATATAAAATCATGCCCTCGTTGTAAAGCTCAGAATGTTTGGAATCCAGTAGTTAACTATATTTGTATATATACAAAACAATACAATACAATTTATTCTTGTATAGCCCTAGGTCACAACAGAAGTCATCTCAGAGGACTTAACAAAACCATTGAAATCACCAACACAGGTCAGAGAATCAACAGTTAAAACACATGAAAAATATAAAGCACACACAGAAGAAAATGTCCATACATGTTGTAGAATGCTAAAGTGTCCTGATCATCACCAATCCTTTCTGTTGGACACTAACTGTCCAACAAGACCCTCCTGCATCAACAAGGAAAAACTCTTAAAAAATATATGGACAATTTGTTTTTAATTGTCTCACAATAGTCCATACATGATTCAATATGGACATATCATACCACATTTCAAAGCCAAGTTTTACAAACTACGCCCCCTGGACAAGTCGAATGAACAAAGTTAATGAATAAAGAATATTCAAATAGGCCTGCTGCAATGTCCAAATTATAAAATATAAAATAAGCGCTGCAGGCCAATACAAAAGAGTTAAGACACATATAATAGATTTGGCTGCTGGTATAATTCTGGCATTTTCAAATACATAGAATGTTAGTGCCTGCCCTCTACAAGTAACAAGGATGAGATATTAACTTTGCTGCAATCTCCCAAAAAGGAATCATGTGCGTGCAGTGGTTTTACATTAACACACTAACATTCACTTCTGTCTATATTTTCCCCCGTACAGTAAACCTGACATTGTTCTCATTGTGCCTATAAGAAGAGATGCTGGAGTGCCATACTAACCCACATGTTGCTCAGGTGATTATGTAATGGCTGTGACAGGGCTGGACTACACTCCACCAGGACACAGAGCTGAAGGTCACACAAGAGCAGTGACTCAACATTGGCTCAGGCCCCGACATCTTCAGCCTGTGCGCTCCCCTCTCCTCCGGGGGCCGGGCTTATCTTAATGAAATCTGACAAAGAATTGTGACAATCAGCGCAGGAGCGAGCCACGGAGGTTAATACGCTACACAGACAATGCCCACACGCAGAGCTCCCATTGAGAGGTTCTCTGTGGTTTAGTACCAGTGAGACATTGGGACATCATTGGTAGAACATACAGGGTGGAAACAGGGCCCATTACTGCAGACTGTATTGTCTCGAAGTGAGCAGCGCTGTGACATCACACTTTCTGTTTGTGTGAAGCTGTCTTATCACTCAGCATTTTGGGAGACTGGCGATGATACCATGGAGAAACACAGCAGCCTGGGGGTTGCATCACTTCCAGGCACGGCCAAATAGTACTAATCAAAAGAAGCGCTCTTCAGGGATATCAAAGACGCAAATGTGGATTTAAATCAATCCAATACAACTGCAAGTCCATACATTTTCCAAAATTGTAATTTCCTTGATGTTGATGTAGAACATATCCAAACAAAGACGGGGTGAAAAGGCCCAAAATTATGAACGTGTCATAGTGTGGATTTCTGTTTAGTACTTAGTTTTATTTGGACTTCAGTTTTGTGGTTTTGCTTTAGTTTGACTTCCTGTTCCCCTGTGTTGATTGTCTGCCCAGCCCATATGTGTTTCACCTGTGGGTGTGTCCAAATTCAAAGGCAACTGTACACTTAGGGATGATATTTAGGAATGTGGACAGACGTATGTCCAAATTCACTATTGCGAGGTAGGCAGCAAAAGGATCATACCATCGTCTCCATGGAAACGGACGCTTTTGGAGAAGGTTTGAAGCATATATCTGATGTATGCTCCGCTGCCTCATCACGGCCGCGGATACGCGGAACTCTGCTCTGCGTTGTAAAATTAACAACTCACTCATCTCGGACCCGGAGTTAACACGTAACATGTCTATGGTAAGTACATGCATTATACTTTACTGTTGAGTTATGAACACAACTGTTATGATAAAACACAAGCATACAAACGTTAGATTGGCCTCAGACCTTTGTTTGTATCCTTCAGAGGTGTGGACTCGAGTCATGTGACTTGGACTCGAGTCAGACTCGAGTCATGATTTTGATGACTTTAGACTCGACTTGACCAAATATAAAAAGACTTGCAACTCGACTTGGACTTTAACATCAATGACTCTGACTTTCACTTGGACTTGCGCCAATTGACTTGTAAAGACTTGCGTAACCCGGGCCATTTTTACCTTTCTCCGCATCTCTCTTTCTATCTATGCCGTCTCTGAAGAAACAAAGCCTCGCGGTAGTTGTAGCGCTCGCGAGAGAGTTCGAACGTGAGTTCCCCGCAGTTCGCGCTGCAACACTTCCCTAAACAAGCGCACTGCATTCACTGGTGGGTGTGTTGTCGTAGGGGAGCTGGAAATGAGCGAGCTGCAGGTATTTATCGCGACCTAACGTCATATTTTGTTCTACAAACCGTAATTGATATGCTTTCACTACAGGCGCCTCATACAATTGAATCGACGCAGTTGTCACACTGTGTGCCGTGTTTTAAAGAGGAACTGGTGAGTCAAACTAGTGCTAGCCTGCGCTGCTCTGTTGGCTCTTTCTTATATTTTTCTGTGTGGGTGCCGAGGCCTATTATTATGAGTATGTTTTTGCTGTGCTCCTCCTGCTAAAGTTTGCATACATTAGATAGTTGTTTTGATTATGTGCACTAAGCTAGATTAATATTTGCACTATTGTTTATGGTGCATTGATATGAGAATCAGTGCTTTGACTGATTGAATTAATTTATATGAGACATTTTATTATGTAATGATATATTGGTAATTATGAGATATTACTAATGCTGGTCCAGTTCATACAGGCCAGGTTCCTTCCCCTCCATTGGTCATTGGTCCCTTCAGTCCTTTGCCCCCCCCCCCCCCCCTTTTTTTTGATGGCGAGCTGCCCCAGGTCCAAAGCCTAGACCCCTCACACTGCCCCTATCCTACAGTAGGACATTTGGAACAATAACCACTACGGACATTAAACTGATTATATAGATACAGGTCCTAGCCCAATACTCATATTCATATATGCTGCACTTGCTACTTCCCATTAAAAACCCCAAAGATAAAAAGTATGTTGACACGGACTGCTCTGATTTTATGTGTGGTTTGTGCATGTGTAACTGAGCCTGCATCTGGCACAACATCCAATTAGATCACGTAGATAGTTTTGATTTACCAGCAGCCAACGACATGGAACAAACTGTTAGTCCATGGGTCAGAGACCAACGAGAATGCACCAGAAAAATGATTCCTAACATTATTTTGTTTGCCTACAAAAGTACGTGGAGACCAACAAGAAACAAATCGCGGTCAAAAAGACTCGAGAGGACTCGAAAGTCAAACCGTAGGACTTGGGACTGACTTGAGATTTGTTGGCCTTTGACTTGGACTCGACTCGGGACTTGCCTGTCTTGATTCGTGACTTGAGGGCAATGAATTGAGACTAACTTGTGACATGCTAAACAATGACTTTGTCCCACCTCTGGTATCCTTGTTATGCCCATTCAGTCCCAACTCCCCAAAGACAGCAGGGTTAAAGTGGTTAGCCATGCTTCATTATTCTTCTATGATTTCTATTTTTAACCAGTTTCTATTTGTTTCTATTTTAACCAGTTTATAGCAAATTGAAAAAAGCAAGGCCCCTAGTAATAAGTA